TTTTAATCTGACTTTCAGCCGCCGCCCCGAATCTCTGGAATTCCCTGCCTCAATTCCTGTTTTGCCTTCTCTTTGCCTCACACCTGAAGACTTTTCTCTTCGACCGTGCTTTTGGTCACCTCCCCATTCTTTCCAGTTCGGTGTCAAACCCACATCATTGTTAAGCGCTGAGACATTGGTCGCATAAATGCAAGCCACTACATAAATGCAAGTTGTCATCATGAAAGCAGGATGATGTTCTGTTTTTTTTACACTTCTGTCCACTGCAGAAGCATCACTGCTGCTAATCTCAATTTTAACTGATTGAATTGAATGGCTGCTATTACGTGCTAGCTCCGCCACCCCCAGAGGCCCAGAAAGCCTATGTATGGCACCTTTATTTCCCACTCCAGCTCTCTTCCTGTAGCTCTGTGTGTTGTCACATACCACATTCAACAAGCCCGGATTTGAGCCCTCACTAGATGGGTGGTAGGTACCAGGAACTCCCTGTGAGCTACCCGGTGGGCAACACAGCTCAGCACCTTCCACAGCTCGAACATACATCCCTTGCCATTGAATGATAGTGCTACCAGATGTAGGTGCGGAGCTTGAGCAATCCTCCCTGAGAACATGTACTTATTAAAGTTATGTGTTTACAGAAAGAATAGATTGATATATGCATTTATCTCAATTTTTGCATTCCCCTCAAATAACCTTGCTCTCCATACTCCACGATTAGCCACCTTATGCCTGGGCATCCCATGTGATTCCAATAACTTAAACGACTAGCCTTGGGGAGAGTAAACAGAAAAAAATTGCAACACTCCACTGGGAAAGAATTATTCAATTTCAAAATAGTTTGGATTCAACCTCAGCATTGCATGTGAATAATTCATTTGGTGCAGATTCAATCATTCGTCAATTTGCATTTTCCTGGTCAAGCTTTAATTCAGTATTAAGAGCTTGGCACTGCAGTTGTTCGTATGCCATTGGCAAAAATAGAAGTAACATTATTAGTAATAACTCTTGCATTTGATGTAGTGCCTTATTACGTCAAAATGCCTCAAAGTGAAGTTCTGTGAAGTGTCATGATAAGGTGCAATATCAATTGCAGGATTATTATTATAAATTTTACTCAAAATATTTTTCCCATTACAGTACCTTACTGAAAGTTAAAAGATCAATGAAAGATCAGACTATAACATGACCCTAAATTGCTTGCGACTCTGTGAATCCCTCAGGTATAATGAGTCTGATGTATCTAATTCAGGGAGTCTTCAATCTTTACTGTGTTTCTTTACTTTCTGTTGTGGGCAGATCTGTTTAAATTACAGAACACTTACTTGGAATTGTTAAATGTATGGCATGAAATACTAATGCCACGAAGCAGTGAAGGAAGAGGTTCAAAGGATGATCCATTTGTGTAAACAATCTTTACTCTCTTTTGTTGTATTAGGCCTTGGACTAAACTTTCAGAGACTTGATGAATTGGCTTCAACAGAGCTAATGTGCTACTTGTGTTCTTATTTTCGTATGACCATTGATCAAATGTTTGCAGCACTACATTTTATAAGAGACGATAAGAATGCTTTTTGGATGCATTACCCTTCCACTAAAAATCTTATTTGGAGTTGAGGTACATGATCTAATAGAATGGTGGAACAGACTCAAGGGGTAGAATGGCCTATTTCTGTGCCTATGTTCCTATTAAGATTTCTGAAAATGTAGTATCAAACATTAGTTACTCCTTCCATGCCCCTTACAATACGTGTACACAGATTTATCAAAGAACACACTATTATGCCCATCCATATGAAAGAGTTTTTCTCACCGCAGACTGATGAGTGAATACAGCTGGATAGACCAAAGCCAGCAGAACGTAGCTGGAGACTTTTTCCTGTATCCTCGCGAGAATTTGGATTTCTTTAGAAAGCAACCACAGGGATCATGGAGTGAACGCTGCCAATTCATACTGCAGTAAAACAGCTGTAAAATTCTGAAATCTACACAGAAGATTATTAAAAATGTATTTCCAACTAAGAACCACGGACAAATATTATTTTGCTTCCTTGTAAACTTTTATTGTTTTTTTGCAAGTAAAAATTTTTTTCTCTGGCATTCAATATCCCTTTATTGGCAGGAGGTCACAATATTGTACCACTTTTATCAAAATTGTTTATAGTCTATTTCTCAGAAATGAAACTGCTGATATTAAATCGCCATGAACAAAGAAACATTTGTTAAAAACTGTACAATGACGTTTTGCAATAGGTTCCCAATAGATTCAGATTTTGAAGTTGTATTGAATCTCATCATCAGTTGAGCCTGGTTAACAACTGGAAATTTATGGCTCTTGTCATTGCCTTTTCTCCTAGATTTTTTTTCATTCCACTTATATCTTCAGGTCGTAAAAATACTTGCAATGCAGAGCTTGAATTTAATGCTGCGGCTATCCTGCACATTTACAGCTGCAAAGTTTTGAAAGGTCATCTTTTTGTACGTTAGCAACAATCTGATTGCACATATGGTTTTAACATTAACTAAACAAAATTAACAAACATCAGATCTTGAATTCTGTTCAACACCAAAAGTACATCTGCGTAGAATGCCTAAATAGAGCGTTTGGTTATATCCACTCCAATTTCAAAGCAACGTAGAACAGAAACATATAGCGGATTTCCTACTCCACATTGCTGTATTGCCAAAGCAACTTTAGAAATTCAGTATAAGGCATGAGCATTTTTATCTCAATTTATCACACCTCTTTTGCAAAAGCCACCAACAAGAAGCTGAATTTTCTCAGTCAAATACTTTTAATTTTCCTTCAATTCTCTGTATATCACCAACTCAACTTCATTGAACACTTGAATGCTACCCTCATATTTGGGGAGCGTCCCCTTGAATCTCTCTTGCTCGTTTGGATAAGATTCAATGGTGTTTCGGCGCTGACAAATTGTGGCTTTATTAATGTACTGTATTCCTCGTCACCTGGTTTAGTTTCCAAAAACCACACAGCGATCTGTTCTCAATCTACTCTACTAAAAAACAGATGCGATTGCTTAATATTGAAAACGAATCTTTCCAAAGACACAATTAAAAATGTATTTCTTGGTATTTCAGATTCAGGTCCCCCGCCTCTCCCTTTCCATTTTACTTTTCTCTATTTTTCTTTTCTCTTTCTGTCTTTGATTTTTTTTGTTCTTCATCAATTGCAATCTCACTCCCCATTCTTGATTTCCAGATTAGCATCTTGTTTTCTGTTTTACTATTTTAGGTGACCTTCATCTTCAGATTACATTGGAGGTAGCTGAAAGCATGCGACTCCGCCAGTTGCATAAATTAAAATTAAAACATGACACTTGGAAAGAGAGATGGGGAATAGGAGAGAAAATACTGTGATATGCTTTCTGCCGTGATGCTCACCAATTCATTTTTGATTCCTACTTTACTATTCTGAAATAAGCACTCCACTATCTTGGCAATGCCATAACTCTACACGACTGTTACAAACCACCAAACACCTGCAGGAGAAAGGTGGTGCTCCCAAAGTAGAATCTTACACTATTGCAAAACTGCAAAGAGTGTATGGACAAAACTGTTTGTACATTGTCCTTTTGATAAATGCAGTCATTTCATTCCAGAAGTTATATGGGAGAATGTTTCTCAAAGATGGGCCTTTCAGTTTAAATTCTGCACTTCCAAGATCACCAAAAAGGCTGCATTATTGGAGAGGCATCAAAGCTTACTTAAGAAAAGAAATCACATATAAGATACCACCACTTAGCATTCACTACTAAAAGGTACATAATGACATGTTGGAACAACCTCAAAATCAACTTGGCAGAAGAGCAACACTTTATACTGAATGCCCTCCAGATGGAATAGATCTCTGTCAACTGCTGCATCATTTTAAAGTCCATTTGCAAGACTTGGAAGAAAAAATTAAAGTCACTCCAGGACCTAATAAAATAACGATGATCCTTGTATTTGATATAGCGCCTTTCACCATGAGAGGATGCCCCAAGTCGCTTCACAGTGTAGTGACTATATTTAGGTGAATGTGGCAACCAATTTTCACCCAGTTATAAATTGAAACTACCAAATATATCTGAAGGATTGTTGGTCAGGACATCAATGATACTTACAAATAAAAAAAATGTATTTACAGCAACTTCAAATGATGTCTGCACACAAGAGGAGAGCAATGAAATTTGTGCACGGTTGTAATGCTCCTTTTATCAAAATGGTAAATAATCAATCACTTTGCTTCTTACTTGATTTAGTTACACTGAGAACCATTGATTAACAAATGTTAATCCTGTGAATAATCTAGAATGTGGCCTTTGTACCACTATCCACAGATTGTGGTGGGTCAGGCAACAACGTTCAAAGACATGAATATGGGACATTGAAACTGATCCGAGTCCTGTACCAATGCAATGTTTTTTGTAAAAAAAATCTGATCTTTTGGTATGATTGCATTGAAGCATCGTCATAAGCTTACAGTCATGTCGGCAAGACATTGACAAATCTCTCACATGAAGTTGCAGATTGGGAGAATGGGCTAATTAAAGCAAAATCAAATCGAGCTGCACATTGTGCTTTGAACAAGGAGAAACAAATACATAATGACTGCCACAGAGAGCCATATGGTGACTGATAATGAGAGTTCAGAGCCTCAAGTGCACAGGATAGGACAAACACACAAAATGACATGAACCATGATCTGGGTTAAAATACATATGCAGCAATTAGTTGTTTAGTCAGGAACAATATGGAATGTTACAGAGACTTACACAGAATCAATGAGCACATTTGGCATATCAGAACCCTCACCTTCCTCCCCTGTACAACAAACAAAGTTAATAATTTAAAAAATTAAAATCAGAAATGGTCACCATGTTAGTAGAGCAGAGACGCATCATCAGGTCACCAATAAAATGTTTAAAAAGACTCCTTTTTTAAAAAAAAACAAGAACTGTGTTCTTTGATGCAGAATTAACAAAATGCCACACAAAGGATTGTATTCAAATATTTATTAAAACATTATATACACTAATCAAGTACAGGGGGATTTTAAAAAATTTTACATGCTGATTTGCATTGAAAAAGGGACTTGAACTGAACTAGTTAAAAACACAAATTCACTAACAAAAAAAGATTAATAAATCACATCCCATTTTAGAATGTTTAACAATTGTCAAATCATTTGATTTCACCCCCAAAACAATGAGGCAAAATGAATGTGGAACATATTCTATACTATAAAAACATAGTTGATCAAAACTAGCCTGCAAGACAGCATCTGTACATGTTATGCTGGCGTCCATCAATTGCAGTTTGGGGGAGATTTTCACTCCTTCACCAAGGTAAGTGTATCAATTATTCCTTCTGAAAATAGTCAATACAACAAATTTAAAACTGTACAGTTTTAACACACAAAAAAGGAACAATGCCTACATGAGCAATTCATAAAAATCACAATCACGATCAGGTGTACGGCTTTTATTGGAATGATCTGTTCAGAGTAAGATTTTGTTTCGAAAAATGCTTGGTTCCCTTAAAATCCTTGCCAGTCTCAAATAAGGTGCATCAATCGATGAAACAGTGACTTCATTTAAAAATGTGAGAAGCTGCCATGCCTAAGGTTTGTGCTCGCCACCTAATCTGTAAACTTGAAATGACAAGAAAGTGACACGACTTCCATAGGGAATGATGTAAGAGGGTGATAAACAGGAGAAGCCTACAAAAACAAAAAAAGTACAGCAAATGACTCCTACTGCACAGTTAAAACCAGGGATTGTTCTGTTCTCTACATTAATTAGATTCTTCCAAAATAAAACAGAAAAGGTTCTGTCTCCAAAATGCAGCGTAATTTACAAAATCCTAAAGGTCAGCTTTTAGGAAGGAAAGATAGTATTGTTAGGGTTGGCTGGCATTGAAACCTAGAACAAATGGCTCTTTAGTTTGGCAATCCCTATTATTTTAGCTAAAAAACTAAGCAACAGCTTGAGATTTCCTAGGTAGAATAAAAGAGAACCTCCTACCATTATGTACCAAGGAAATCTAGGGAGCCATGCAAAGTACTTGCAGGAACTTAAAAAAGAGGGAGAAAGTGGGCAAGAGTAAATGCGTTGAGGACAATGGGTTAAGATGTGAAGAAGCATTTGATCTGTGTAGAAATGCAGATTAGTTTGTGTAAAACTTTCTCGTTTGTGATTGAAGCGTTTTATTCCTGGTGATGAACTACAGAGTTTTCTGGTCAGGCACATATCCCTGAAAGGCAGACACTGAAAGTCAATAACTGCTGCTTAAAGCTGCAGTAAGGAACCTTTCACTGCAAATGAAAATGATGAGCATATACGAAGGGAAGGAGCAGTGAAAACTTGTACTTTGTTTCCATTTCACAACTTATTTTACTTAAAGATCAATAGTATTATAAAGAGATATTAAAATTCTTAATAAATTATTCAGTAACTGCTTTTCTTTTGGTTGTAGCTCTATTTAAAAAAAAGCCTAAGAAAAGTGATTGCAAGCTAATTAGGTGCAGATTTTCAAATCCGATTTCATCTGAATGATATACATTTTCTTAAGCAAACTCAAAGGTTAAGAGGTGAGAGAAAGTGTACTAGAGAAGTTTAAGATGGATTTTATAGGGCTAAACTGTTGAAGTTAAATTACATTTGAATAACATATTCTGGTGATTTTTTGGTCCGCGCGTGAGAGAGAAAAAACAAAACTTAAAAGCAGAGAAGAGAAATTAAAAATAAAATGTGTCCTCAGTTTCATGTGCCTTCCTAAGGTCAGAATAACCACCTATTGGTTTAAAAAAAATGCAAAAAGCAAAATAGCACAAAATGCTGCACATATATAAGGAGAGAATGTCATACACCTAAAATTAACCAGCTTTAGTTGGAAGTTGGCACAAGAGAAGAGATTGCACATCATTAGAGGTGTAAACCTATGAGGGGAGGTGGGAAGGATTAATGCTGGGGAACAAGCACATTGTGTTTAAGAAAAAACACACGCACAAAGGCAATATAGTCCTCCTAAATATGCATAAAAGTGGTGAATAAGCAACTGGACATGGACAACACTTTGGAGCAAGGGTTAAAATAAATGTCAATAAATTATGAAACTGACCGAAGGAAAGAAAAATTAACAGACAAGACAATTTAAAGTACTGTACCAGAATATTGGTTCATTCTCTCAACAGATCACAAAACCTATCGAGTGCGAATGGAATGAAAATAGTATAAAAATTCAGTGTGGGGTGCTCCAGCTAGTTTAAAATAGGTACATTTCTTTTGCATGAAAAACTTATCAGTCCAACATTTATTCACATTATAAGTTAGATTTAACAACTCCAAGGGAGCTGCAGCGGCAGGTACACATTTATGGTTCCATTCGTCAAGTCTCCCACCACTGACCCATAGGGTCTGGTCCTCTAGCTCAAGCATCAGGAGTCAAATCAGACATGTTCTGCTTGGTGCATTGGCTTCTCCATCCAACCTTCTTCAAACACCAAAGTGCAGGAAATACACAGTCAGTGCAGCCAGCAAAATCATCGATGTAAATACTGGTCACATTATTTGTTCAAAGCAAAAATGTTCTCCCCCCACCCCCCACCCCATCTGTAAAACAATCATTTATTTACAAAATCTATCCTCCTGTAGTTTTAGTCAACTGCCGCATTATATAAAAAAAATAAAAAATAAATTAAAGTAGAAAGTGTTTGCCAGCCTAGCTGGACATTAGGCTGTCCTATCTGAACTCTTATTGCTGCTGTTACCAAGATTGGATTTATTTTTTTCAAGCCACAGGTCAGCCAGCTGCTGTGTGGAACCATAGGTTGAAGCTTTGGAGCCCAAGCACATTTTGTACTGTTTTGCTTCAAGGTTAGGATCACAGTAGACGGGATGATGGACGTGTATTACTCCGATTTCTTGACTCCTAAATGGTTTTAGACCAGCTTGAATCACTTTGTTGAAAAGATCCACATCCTCCATACCCCAACCTTGGATAGAGATATCAAACCCACCTGAACGCAACAGATCACTTTTGTAAACACAAGTGATCCCAAATCCATAGTTCCTCCAGAATCCTGTCTTTATAGTGAAGGCATAATTGTTGTCACTGGGAACATTCCCGGCATATACAATCTTTGGGTCATATTGGCTAAAGATAATTGGAAAGTACACTTGTTCTCCTTGGACAGTGTTGTCTCTGCAGCGTTGCAGAAATTCAGCTGTAAAAATCAAATCTACATCGCAAAAGAAAAGTAGAGAATCGTTGCTGAATTGGGAGGATCCAACTTCTAGAGCAAGTGCCCTTGAAAACTCTCCAGACACTGGCAGAATCTGTAGGTCTGCTTTGGGAAATTTGACGCGATAGTCTCGCATTAGTTCTACTTGCTTTGTTTTGTCTGGGTTTGAATCGGAATTGAAGAGCAAAATTACCAGCTTAACGTTTTGATTTGAAACGAGGCAGGTCCTTTCAAAGTTCCCCATGAACCGTGCAAACATTTCAAAGCGCCCAGAGAGCGGGACCAAAATGTTGATTTTCTTGTCTTTGGGGTCCTTGCGTTCCAGATTAGCATTTGAAAATTGGAAAGGAACAAATATCTTGAGGGGGTTGGAAAGGAAGGATAAAGACCCAGAGTTACTATTAATCTTGTTGGCCAAATCTTTGGCATCGATCTCTTCATGCTCAGCAAATTGGATCTTGCTGAAGGTTTGCTGTAAGTATGCATGCCTCCTCACGGGAACAGTCATTTTTTTGCCTTTATGTTTTTTGTAGAGAAGCAGAAGATCAAGAACATATTCAGCACCATACATAGGGTTGACTCTTCGGTAACCGTACTGAATTTCCTTGAAGTCAATGACACGTCCCCTGCTCTTGGCATTAGCATTAATCATCTCCATTACCTGCATGATAATGTCATCTAAAGCCTCTCTCTGGGAAGAGTCCATTCCTCTCCGTGGAGGCTGTCCATCAAATGCTGAATAGAGATATTTTCCAGTCAAAAACTCCCATTCGAGTACCTCTTCTCTCTGATGCGGCTGAAACCGCATGAACGAGGGAGGGATTCCCAATTGCATATCATCTTTGTGAACCTCGGAGTTGCTGTACCTGCTCATCAGTACAATCTCCCGGTGAAGCTGAACAGTACGATGACGGAGCTCTGCTATCTTGCGGCTCAACATGTAGCTGTGTAACCTATATTGATATGCTGGATTCTTATTGGGGTGCAGAGTGATTGCTCGGTGGATTTTGCTGTTGTGCAGATCTTTGATGTAGCCTTTTTTATTCTGTTCATAGTTCTCATAAAACAGCTGCTGCATCTGTAAGGGAAAAACAGAAAGGAAAATACATGATATCGTAATAAACTGCAAGCATTAACTCTTGCTAAAATAAGAAGTTGAAGCGTAATAATAATACTTGGATTTCATATAGGATCTTATCACGTCATCAGGACATCTCAAAGCGCTTCACAGATATCCTGTAACGTGAAGTGACTTGTGTATTTTATGGGCAAAACGCAGCAGCCAGTTGGGCACAGCACAGTTCCACAAACAGCCATGGGTGATTGGTCAATTTTGTTCAGGGAATTTGTTGGCCAGGACCCAGCGAAAACTCTCCTCTCTTTCAAATAGTGCCACGGGATCTTTAACAATCAACTGAACAGGCAGACAGGACCTCGGTTTAACATCTCATTTGAAGGACGGCACCTCTGATAATGCATCAGCCCCCTAGGGTGTCCACTGCATTGGAGCGTCAGCTTAGACTACACGTTTCCCGATGTGGGGCTTGAACCCACAACCCTCTGACTCAAGAGGCAAGAGTGCGTCAGACTGACACACGAGTACGAAGAGAAGCCCAAAAATAATACTGTGGTAATTTATATGCTGGTGACTTCAGTTTTAAGATTTTATAACTTTGAGCTTTGGATTTATTACCAAATTAGATACTCGTAACTAATAAAAGCAGAGACCTACTCCAAACCTGCTTTGGTAAACTTTGTTATAAACAAAGTTATTCAACTGAGGCAACTTGACTACATGAAATACTAAAATGCTATGTTGCAAGATGTGTCAATTCTTAAAGGCCACAGCTGGTATCTCAATAATACTTCACATTTAGTTCCTAATTAAGAGCTGCCAGCTTGACATAAACATCAATCTTTACTTCTTACGATGTAAGGGAAAACATGATAAAGGTTAAAAAAGAGAAGCTTTAGTCTGAAGCTAGCTGGGTACCATGGCAATAGCAAGATGCAATGATCTAAACATAATTTATCATCTCATTGGTACAGGTTTTTTTTAAAACCCTGAAGATTTGGCTTATGAAGAAAATGGACAAAGAGCCTTTTGACAGCGCCTAGATCGTTGGCTGAACATTTCTGATTATATTCTGTTCTAGGAACAGATTTGCAGTGTGAAGGGATCCGTAAGGCCAAAAGTGAGGAAGAGCAAGCCTTTGTTGAAAAATGTTTTCTTAAGAAGCTTTTAAACGTTAAAACCCAAATGTTGCCCTTGTCCTTGCAACCCCCCAGCAGCTGTACTACAGATGGACATTTAGTCTCGAAACATCGAGAGACTAAATGTTCAACTGTGGGACAGCTGCTTGGGGTTGCATTGGCTACAGTTCAAAATGGGGCTGAAAGGCAAAGCGCTGTGTTGTTCACTTTAATGAAATGAATATTTGTAAGTCAAGAATATATATGAAAAAAAATACTGGTTTCATCCAATTAAATAAAAAGTACAGCTAATTTAAACAGAAGCTGAGTTTTGGCTGCAATATCGTTGTCCCCACAGGACCACTGAACAATTCCAATACTTACCACACTGCAACTAGTGGGAATTTAATGAAATGCATTTTATATTCGGTTAATTTTTTTAAAATTCAGCAGTTTAAATGTTTAAAAATTGCATAGCTAACCCCCACCCTCCACACACACACACACACAAAAAAGCTCAGCTCAGTAAAATGAAATAACAGATGTGGTCAGTAATAAAAAAGGCATCAGAAAAATGAATGATAGCTGTAGCTTTCAATGCTGCAAGGTACAGAATGTTTCTCTAGCGCAGCCCTACCAGAAGTCAGAATGAATGGGAGTTTGTCTTCATTTAGGTCATGTTTTTCATACACATGCAGGTTAATTATGCCAAGAAACCAGCAAGAGGAGTGCCAAGTATAGGCTGAAATCTGTACAGGTCAACTGTCAGACCTTTCCCATCAGGAGGATACCTTCAACACACAACAATATCCCACAAACGGACATTAAATTAAACCTCCAATTCCAACCCCCACCCCCCCCCCCCCCCGGGATTGTTGGCCACAACACTAGGAGAAACTCCCTTCTCTTATCAAATTGTACCACAGGATTTTTTCACCTGAACAGGCAAAAAGAACCTTGGTATAAAATCTCATCCGAACGATGGCAACTCTCACAATGCAACGCACGTTTTTTGTGTTTCTCAAAAAACGTACGCCCCCAGCACTACAATAAAGCAGCAGCCTGGACTCCGAGTGTTCAGAGTTCCATCCTGGGGCTTGTACCCACAACCTTCTGACTGAGCCAGGCTGACACCATTTTCTTTGGATTAAGAGGCAAAAGTGCTGCCTCACCTGCACCTCACTTCAGCAGCAGGTAACGTGCAATCTCACGGCAAAATAAAACAAGAATTTTGCAGCACGCTTTCGACTCGGGCACGAGCACAGTTGCCAATGGTCAGGGTTGCTTTTTCAAAGGAGAAAAAGCAAAACATTGAATTCCTTGGTGGTTTATAAAACAAACTGCTGATTACAGCCACAAAAAGCTCCAGGCAACAATAAGGTTCCAGAATTTTGTGTTTTGCAAACCACTTTGACATTATGCTTGCCTACAGTGAAAAATACATAGTTCTTAAGTGTCAATTATGCGGGATCTTAGATCATTAAAACTGAGACCCCAGAATGTCCTACCTAGAGGCTTCATTATCAGGCTGGTAATGTAGCCAACAACCAACAGCGTTGCACATTTGCAAGGGGGCAGGAACGACAGGCTATGTTGGGGAGCCTTGACAAAAATCTATTTAAAAAAGGCGGCTTAGAGATTTTATATTGTGCATTGTTATTTGTAACCCAACATGCAGCAAAATGATCACACAATGCAGTCAGGCTGGTTTGTGTTTTGATGACCCTTTAGTTCTGGACCATTTTGCGAAAGCCATGATTTGAGTGACCAATTTTATTTTGGGGGCACTGTTGACCAGGACGCAGAGAGAACCTCCCTTTTCTTTTCAAATAGTGCCATGGGATCTTTCACATCCACCCGAACAGCAGCCTGGACCTCAATTTAACATCTCATCTGAAAGACCTCAAACAATGCAACATTGCTTTGGAGTGTAAACTCAAGACTACATGAATTCAAGTCCTGACGCGGGGCTAAAACAACAAGATTTCATTTATATATTCATTTATAAAAACCCATAACACTCAGACTCAAGAGGTGAGAGTGCTACCAACTGAGCCAGGCTGACACACCTAAAGGCGAGAACACATGATTTGCTTGATGGAACGTTAATCTGAAGTAATAAGGAGACACACATTACAAACTGAGCTGGACTCCAAAGAGCAGAAAGCCTGAGTGAAGAAATCAAAAATGATGGACTACAACCTGGGGCACATTTGTAATTGCGAGAAAGGATCTCTCACAAAACCCCAGTCTAATCAAATCATTTGCGCCTCAAAGGCTTTGACGGGTTTAATTATTTCAACGGTTTCCACTTGAAAGGGGACTGAAATCAGACAGGATGACCCATGTTACTTCACTATTGATTTATACTGACCAGTCATCTGCCAGTGTTTAGCCCCCAAAGCTATGTTTAATTGGCTTGATCTGAGGCAACAGCAATGCAGATTACAGGAAGCAACAGACAGAGAGAGAAGTGGGAAAGAATAGTCTTGGCTGAGAAGTCCAAGAGCTCTATGTGCCACACATTACATCTGTCCATCTGTGTTATTTGGATAAAACATCCCATACACATGCCAAGGCCAGAATAAGAAGAGAGGGAAAGTGAAAATGATGAAAAACCCCAATCAAGCAACAATTTCACATTAGCTTTTATTGTAACAGAAAGTCACCCTCCTCACAGAACAAATTGCATTTTATTAGCCAAATACACATGCCAAGGCCAGAATAAGAAGAGGGGGAAAGTGAAAATGATGAAAAACCCCAATCAAGCAACAATTTCAACATTAGCTTTTATTGTAACAGAAAGTCACCCTCCTCATAGAACAAATTGCATTTTATTAGCCAAGATAATGGAAAGTATTTTATATATAACAAAAACAATAAGGTTTCATGTGTATGCAACCCTGAAAAAAACTTGGAAGCATAAACTATTTTCTAAGGAAGGAAGTCATTGCAATTCATTTTGAGTCTGAATGGAGTCAATACTAAGTTTTTCCTGGATAGAATAATAATAATCCTTGAATTTGATATGGCACTTTCATGTCTTCTAGACGTCTCAACGTGCTTCATATACTGTGAAGTGAATTGACTGCATTTTTGTAGGCAAAAAACGGCAGCCAATTGCGCACAGCAGTGTCCCGCAAACAGTCATGACCAAATTATTATTGTTTTTTTTCTTGAGGGATTATTATCAGGCGTTTGGAGGAAGGAAACTTGCCCAACATTTCGCCCTGCCGGGAATCGAACCCAGGTATCTCGCTTATGAGGCGAGTGCTCTAACCACTGAGCTAACCTTTTATCTAAACTAGTATTGAGCCACTTTTTTTTCAAAAAATAGTTTAGTTTAAATTGAAGAGCTGCAGAAATACTTCGTTGAAAATACGCAGTTAAAAAAAGTTTCCAATGAGGTAGCGATTGCTTGAGGGATGTCATAAAAGCAGAGATTAACCGGAGTGGTCTGTCAGTGATCTGATTGCATGCCAGACACAGGTTGCTGGCCATCCAGGAAGACTTCAACAAAGCATCCAGTGGAAGCTGTATGTGAAAGGAAGCAACAATACAGAAGCTCAGCCAGTCTTTACAGAAATGGTTAGAGTAACAAAAAACCACACAAGCTCGAATGGCAGGTCTGCTTTAAACAAGGTTGCCAGTTGCCATTGAGCAAGTAATTAGTTAAATAAAAGCAAACAGAAAAGAATCAGCTACAAAATGATTGTAGGGAACTGAGTACATTATAAAAGCACTTCAATGATCTATATTTTCATCAGCAAAAATGGCAAATGGAGGTTAATGATGGCTATTCAGGTTTCAATTAGAAACTGCACCAAACAAACCAGTCCTGAAATTAGGCTTCAGCAACAGGTGACTATTCTGAAACATACAAAA